TTCGGAAGGTTTGGAATCGGGAAATGATTTATATCAATCACTTCCGATTCTCCACCGAGGTGTACATGTATATAGAATTGGCATTACTCGCTTTTTTGATTCCCATTCTTGGTTCAGATGGGCTAAATACATGTACATGTATTGTGATGATTTAGAAATTACATGGACAATTAATCAGAAAATTGCATTCTAGTACAGATATTAAAGAATGCCAGAGCAAGTGTGCAAGTTATTATCATTACGATTCTCCAATAACTGGTTTGCTATTTAAATTTCATAGTTATCTCTTTAAACATATGAAAGCTTACGAAATAATACAATACAATCAACAAAGAAAAGTCTTGTAATTGAAGCAAGAAATAAACAAATAAATAAAGGATTAACCCGTTAGGTCAAAAAAGTATCCTCTAGTAACGCATGGCGCACGACTGAACCCATCATAACCAAAGTTTTTAAACAGTCATTTTTATAGATAGCTGTTAACTTTTTGTCGCTCTATTCCCTGGCAGGTAATAACTAATGATCCATCGCAACGCATTTTCAGCCAGAAATTAAACTACCATGTAGGAGAAATTTTATGCTTGTTTTTACGCAATACACGTGTGTTTGTAGTATTGAAATAACTTCTTCATATCAAAAATAGATATCAGATTTTCTGCTTCTTTTGAATTCAACGTAACTTGTGAATTCATACCGTTCAATAGTAAATCCGTTCTATTATTTTCAGTATGTTACTAAAAATATATAAATGTATTTTTTCTTTATTACCATTTTAGATGACTTAAATCTTCTTGACTGTAATGAATACTTTAGTTATCAGCCAATGTTGGATCAAGAAGATTATGCTGTGGCAGATTTCTACACAGAAAATGATAAAGTTGTCTTATCTAGTGACGGACTCGATTCCTTTATCTTTTACAAAAGAAACGCAACATGGAAAAAAAGGCGAGATCGAATATCTCGCCGTAGGGAAAACTTGGAAACTAAAAGGTGAGTATAGTGATTCGTCAATATCTCTAGTATTGACGCTACATTAATTTTTTTATTTTATTTAGTGTTGCACTAATGACCGAAATGGGAGGTGAGATAAGAGGGCGAATTTCTAACTAAGGTAAGTAACAAGCTGCTAAATTTTTTTCGCACCACATACTTCAATATTCTATATGTTTCCTCACAACTGTTCTGTGGTTATAAAAGTGGTCCAGGAAGTTACCTCATCCGCATATCCACCTCATTCCATAAATTTTCTATGAGGCTTAGATTGGAAGACTTGGATGGCAAATCTAGCAAAGTGATCTCTTTGTCGGCGAACCATTGATTTGCTTTTCCGGAGGCGTGTTTTGGGTTATTATCTTGCTGGAAGATAAAATCACCATTCTCCAGTCCCTTCTCCCAGACTGACCCTAGAAGACTATTTGTTAGGATTTCCACATAGCCATCTGCATTCATTTTTCCCACAATTTTTCTCAACTCGCCAACATCGTCGTCCGTCACGTAACCTCAAACCATGATCGATCCACCGCCAAATTTGACAGTTGGCGTAATATGCTGGTCTTTTAACTGACCACCGGGCTTCTTCCAGCAATACTTTCAGCCATCCGACCCGAAAATTTGGTACTTGCTCTCTTCAGACCAAATTACGCGTCGCCATTCGTCGGCCGTCCAAGTTTGGTATTTTTTCGCCTAAACCAACCTTCGTTTTTTGTGTGTTCGTTTGAGGTAAGGCTTCTTTCGTTTTATGCGAGCGAATAATCCGTTTCTACGGAGCATACTTCGTATGCTTTCCACCGAAAGGTCAACGTCCAACTGCATTTTTAAGCTCTCGTTGTCCTCGGCAGCGGTGGAGCATTTTCCGGAGTAGATTAATCGGCACGCGTTTCTTTCGTAGCGTGTCGAGTTGATTGATGGGCGACTGGTATTTGGCTTGTCGTCGAAGCTCCTAGTCTCTTCCTTCTTTTGCATATCCGGTAGACGGAGGCTGGGTCTACTTGTTCCGATGCTGCGATTTCCCGCATCGAATATCCTTCTTTCTGGAGCGTGTATATACGTGCGCAGTTCTCTGTAGGGATTCTAGGTATAATTATGAAAAATGGATCAGTTTGTTTGTTAGAATGTGAGGATTTATTTTTTTAATTTACAAACAACCAAAAACGTTTTTACCTACCTTCCGTCCACCTTCCCGTTCGGTCCTAATTAGTGCAACGCTAAAAAAAGATAAAAAAGTCAATGCATCTTTAATCAAAAGATAGAAGCGAATAATTTTGATATCATCAATACTGTAGATATTGATGAATCAATACACTCACCTTTTGGTCGCCCAGGTTCTCCCTACCGTATCTCGCCCTTTTTTTTCGTGTTGCGTTTCTAAAACTATACATTTAGAGATAATAATTAACAAATAGAATGTTTTAAATGTTAATTTATCTTTTATTTAATGGGTTAGTGCATGCGAGTTTCTTAATATTAAGAAACTCTTTTTATACATGTTATTTTTCTTACTTTCTACAATTAACACTTGACATTGTCAAATTCTGACAATGTCAAATACAAAAATATTTAATTGTTTCTAAAAAGAAATTTCTTGACACTGCCAAAATCACAAGGAAATTGGTCATTATCATTTGTAATAATAATTTAAAATGTTATAATGTGATACTATTATTTAAATAATTGGACAATGATGTCGAAATCACAAGAAATTATGAAATTAAGGAATTTGAGGTCATAACAATAAATAATAGTATCCCAAATATTTAATAATAATATCGGTATGGTGCATAGGTTAGACTTGAGTTATGTTTGCGTCTCTAGTACAGATTTTGCGACCTCATTAACTTTACTTTTAAAGATTCTTTACGAACAGTTCTTTATCGTAAAAACTCAATTAAAAAAACCCCCACAAAAGTTAACTAAACAAAGCAAACCAATGTTGGCCTATGGTTTTGATGCAAAATTGAGACATATGACCTCAATTTTATTATAAATTTCTACAAAAGTCATATGAAAAATGGCTTATGACCATGAAATTGGTCAACGCTGACCTATAATTAAAATAAAGATCAAAGAATTTAATTAAATTAATCCAATTTATTCTCTATCATGGTATAATATCAGGTTTTACTCTTCTTATCATGGATGAATTATAAAACCGCGCGGATACAACTTAATCTAATGTGATAGATTCATTAATGAGCTTTGAGCCTCTGACAATAAGATAGAATGACTCAAATGACGCTTTCTTATACTTGCGTAAAACAGGAATTTTTAATAAAAATAGAAATTAACGATGAACATTAAGAAAAAATCTTTATAAATGGCGCCTTCCTTCTTCGATCTTTGTTTTCTTCACTTTACAAAAGTCTCAATACTTGTCAGCAAAAACATATAACGAACTTTCGCTCATAACGAACAAAAATGAAATTCGTCTACCATCTCGTACTGCTCTTGTGTACGGTGACCAATGCCTTGACCGCAGTTGATCCTCAACCGCATGACGGTGCAATCATAGTAACATCACCCACCGAAGGTCCATGGCAAATGGGATCATACCAAGCGGTCACTTGGAGCGACAACGTTCCAGAAGCTATTGGAAAAAACGTGTGGGTTACAATATACGAAGTTAATAACGATTCCACCGATGCGATTATTCAGGAACTTGATATAAAATCTTACGGAAATGGATGGGATGGATTCCAGATTACTGATGAGTATAGCAAAGACGGTGTATATTATGCATTGGTTTCCGTTGTTGATGATCCAACTATCTTTGGTACTTCGGATTTTTTCACCGTTTTTTAAATAAATTATTAACTAGCAGTCATTTGTTGTTTAGTAAATTCGATGGATAAGATTTTAAAAATAGAATTAAGATGTCATTTATTTGAGATACAAATGCTTTGATTTTAATATAGTGCATTTAGGAATTTAATTCCGAGTTATTTGCGTAACTGTAACAAAACAATCCGATATAATGATGTTCAAATATCAAAAATGTTGAGGAGGTCAATTTTACATATACAGTTATACATGTATACATGCAGTTTCTCTAAATGCAGGTTCTTATCTTTTTCTACTATATGATCCTGTCGAAATGAACATAGATTGTGTCGACTGTAATCTTGACCCCTGCCTCTAATTCTAAGCTTAACCAGCTTTTAATGCTAACCTTTATTACAATAGGATTTTCCGAGCTTTTACGTGTATGCACAAAAACGACACTTTCACATACAACAATTTAAATTCTGATTTTTCAATTCGTTAAACACTGCTGCTATTCGCTTATTATTTAACTTCTAATCTTATAACAGTTTTGTTGTTTGATTCTGTTCTTTTTTGATAACTAGCTTGAATATTAATGCCAGAAGCTTTTAGTCTAGGATATCAATGGGATGAAACTAATCCTTTACGTTTAATACATAAAACACTTTTTAAAACATTCTTCATTATTTTTCCCAATCACTGATAAAAAATTATATAACGTCATTTTTTATGACTGAAAATTTGCACAAATGAGAAATCCTTCCCATTTCACGCTAACGACCTATGTCATGAGTAAAATGAGAACCAAATGGCACATAGAAAGACGACTTTCAAATCATACGATTTAAAAAATTTCAAATTATGATTCTAATAATAATGTATACTACTCAGATGCAACCTCCTTAAATGCACGCACTATGTTTCCTCCTGTAATAGTCCAAAATGACATGAAGCATCAAATATCTTACTCCCCGCAAATATAATTTTTCCATTTCCCCTAACGACATGAATTTAGGGAAACTCTGACTGTATTATGCATCTGCGTCTTTGAATACCATCTATCATTGGTAAATAATTGGTCGTAATTATTTGGATACATGTATCTGATCGTAATTGTTTGGATACATGTATCTGTTGCACATAAATGCTCCATCTTTGTCGTAAACATAGAATACGCCTTACCATTTTTTATGAATATTATTAATTTAAAGTCACCTATTTTTTGATAAATGCTGACTAAAATTCTTCATTTACTAAAAACTTTATCAAATTTATTAATTTGTATTCATTTATGTAAGGAAAGAATCGCTTGGCTAACTAAAAATATCGATTTGTAAATATGTAATATTGCAGCGGAAAGCTATTTACTAAATCAATAGATCAACGCATGTTCATTATAATGTTTGATATAAAATGTCCCTTAGTGGCTGGTTATTGCTTCAATGACGGCGCCGAATATGTATTACTGTGATCATTGTGCTTTCTGATTGATAATATTCATACAAAATAGAATAATGAAAACTAGGCGAACTTGTAAGACGTTCGATATTTCATTTTGTCGGAGATGAGCTTTGATGATAGCAAAAGGTTGATATTAGTTTAAAAAAAGTACGTGGATATATTCTTTTGAAAAGATGACACACTTTAATAGGATACATTTGTTTATTTTTCCGCTGTCAAACAAACATTTACCTCTTACCAAAAAAGCATTGGTTATTTACGGTATGTTTTACTTGTCAATTGCCGCAATTAATTTCAAATTTAATATTGTTACAGTATACCGCATGCTATGCGCACATGTGCATAATTTGATACATGTATTACGGGCATTTGCACAATAACGACATCAATTGACAACCAAGTTAAAAGCAAATTAATTACAAAATATAGAATATAATTATTTAGTAAATACTGTTTATGAGACGGATTACTATATATGCTCCCGGAATCAACTGTGATTTACCCAGGCAAGCTTATCATTATTGCGCCCAGTACCAACTTCGGCTTACCCAGGCTCAACTAGATGTAATTTTGGTTTAACAGGTAGTCAATTTATATTTTTAAGTGAATTGAATAATTATTAAGACGCAAAAATTTTAATATCAATGTGACTATTCCAATTATATCTGATTTCAACTCACTATTTGAAAAGTTTAGTAGAATCTCTCTATGTTAAAAGAGATATTTTAATGCAAGTCTAAATAATGTAACTAAACTATATGTGTATAATGAATATTTAAAAGATATCTGATTATCTTTAATATAAATTATAATTCATTGATTTTTTAAAAACAAATATATTCATATACATAATATTATTAAAATTTTTCGATTAATTTTATTATTAAGTTGAATTAATAATAATAAAATTATTTTTCAATAAAAGTTTTAATTGTAATCATTTTTAAAATTATGAAATAGAGTTTATTTTGCTAAATTAAAATTTATTTTTTATTTGTTATCTAGAAATTCATATTTTAATTGAAAATTGTTTCTAAAGATATACAATTTAATATTGATGATATATACTCTATAAAATATATTATATCTAATTCTTATTATATATTAGTTCATAAATATCTTTAATCAATTATATGTTTGATAACTTTGAAAAACTGATATAATTGTTCAACTTAAAACAGGTTGTACATATAACATATAAATATAATAGTAAATAATCTAAGGTTTTAAAACAGGGTGGACATTTGGACTGAACTGGATCCAGCTGCAAATCTAAATGTTCAAAAAAATTTTGGACAAAATTAGTCCAAGTGTCAAGTTTTATTAATAGTATGTTTTATAGTTGGACTGATTTTTGAATGTTTGGAGAAATAATTTGGACAGCTTTGAACTGAACCCAAAATATTTGTATGGACTTAGCCAGATGTCAACGCTATAAAATATATTATTATTCAACAAGAATTTGCAAATCATAATTGTAGAATATATTCAGACAAATGATAATTTTGATTCGGAGCTAAAAAGTCTAATCTTCCGAATTAAAATATTCGATGAGATAAACAAATTGAAGTCATTTACAAGATGAATATAAAAACATTTCGATCTCTTTCAACTTCGATAAGCGCTGATTGAACTTGTTAATTCATTTTTCAAAGAAACTTTATTACAATCAATCACGGTAGAAAATTCACTAAAGATCCTATTATCAGCCAATAAATTTCCCTTTAAAAGCATATCCCCATAAGCTAATCAAATGAACGACCCACGGAATCACTAATAATGAGGTTGACTGCGTATATCATTTGGCTGAGAAAAGTTTATTTCAGAACCTTATAGTGAAGTTTTCCTATCAAGGTAAACCGTGTATACAAAGTTGCATCACTTTGAGCATCTATGATAAATGACTATAGAATATCCATATAGGCATATCTCGTATAACCACACAGAACAAATTTTTTTATTTCCCCGGTCACTTGGTAATAAGGTAAGTCATAGGATCGAAAACACTAGCATCAGATATCATCCAACAATTAAAAACGTTGGGCAAAGAACCTTTTACGTTCGCATCAGAGAAAATATGCACAAAACAAATAATGTTCGTGCGTTTGGATTTTCGTAATCTTATCATCTCGCATATATGCGCATATGTATAGTCGGATGTATTTCCACATTCGTTCATTTTTAGGTAAATATACATGTACTTCCACATTGGTTTGTGTTAGGTTTTTCCACATCGTTTTTCTTTTTTTTTGATGTATAAAAAAAAGTTAGGATGTGTTCGATGGCAGATCATGTGATTTTTAAGGCGTAAACCATATTTCAATAGGTTAGGTTCGTGGTTAAGGTTATATACATAAAATTGCATGCGATGTATAATAGCAAAATTTCACAAGAAACGATTTTTTTTAGAGCACAGAAAGCGGTTTCATAGACAAAATTTCGAGATACAAACTATTTTTCAAAAATAAACGATCTTGCCCAAGTCACATAAACTTACTTCCGACTTTATTTTTAATTGCATGTATGTTGTTGAAGTACACTCATTATCCTTTCTCCTCTTTGTTGCTCATTTACTATTTTCCTTCCGAATATTTTTTCCGATCTGTGGGATGAATAAAAATTTTTGATTGATGACATCATCTTCTTGTTTAATGGTTGGTTTCCCATATTTAACCTCCCGGTTCGTGTTTAACGGGGCATGCATAGTTTCGAGTAAATGAAAGGCTTTACACTTGATCATGTAGTTAGCAAGTTAGAGTTTGTTATTTGACTTTAACAATAATTGTTTATCCAACAATAGAAATAGGGGGATTTTGACGGAATAATTTGTAGTACAGTCTTTGATGTGCAATCGTCATTGGTACAAAGTTTAAATTAAAAATTTAGGTTTCGGAATCAACATGTATGTGTAAATGAGAAAAGAGATGTTTTTTTTTGCGTGGTACCCGGTTTAAATGACCAGCAATTCCAAAACTCGGCCCATCTTGAAGACAAAGGCAACGGAACGACTAATCATCCGAATGTAGATGTTTGAGCTTGGTAAAGTTTTGTGTTTGAACTTTATTGTAAAATGATCTATCCAGGAATTTCTCACAACACAAGCAGGCAGACTTCCTTTTCGAATGTTCTATAACAAGGATAAAACTTTATTCTTTGACATTATAAAACCTATAGCTTTTCCCCCGGAAGAGGTTCAGACTAAGCAATATAATAATTCACACATCTTTAGCATAATTGTAAAGTAAACACTTCAAAAATTCGAATATCTGACTTACATTCTACATATTAATAAACATGCCTATAGTTTCTGTTGCATCCAAGAATACGCAAAATAGAAGGAATAAAACAAATGAGTCAAGCGTTTTTCAAGGACTATTACCGATAAAATTATATAAAAATTTAAAGAGAAGATTCAAACTTTCCGAAAAAAATAATGATGAATTTCCTCCGATTCAAACATTAACGGAAAGTCTTCAAAAATTTGATTATTCGGATTCGGATGTATTCTCATTAAACACAAAAATCATTCAACTCACAAACGAGCTTCTCCACAAAATCGGAAGTGATATCTACAGCGATTTCTTCGTTGATCCAAAAGAATCGGCAAGTCATTCTTTCGAGGCTGGAAATAATCCAGAATGGGTTGGTTTCGGAGATATGTCAATGTCACCATACGATACTGCTTGGGTAGCGATGGTACCAGTACCTTTATATAAAGAATCCAAACAATCAAAAGATTTCAAGCTTGCTTTCCCTGAATGCTTTAAGTGGATATTAGACGCTCAAGATGAGAATGGCAGTTGGGCGCGTACCGGGGCTGGTAGCATTCCTGCTGGTCTTTCGGCTTTATGTGCTTTGAACATGTTTAAAAATCGTGCTGGTTCGTATTTCGAAGAAAGATTGAAAGAATTAGGTTTTACTTTGGTAAATATTTCGAACAATACGAACATTGATTATGTGTTTGCCTATAGAAGAATTTGAATGACTAATTTTTTACTTTACTCGTAAAATAGAAAAAATTTGATGATGTATTTAAAAATGGTGTCAATTTTATGCGAAACACCTTAAACGAATGGGATATTAATGACGTTGATATGACAGGGTTCGAACTCACGGTCCCATTCCTTTTGTCACAATTGGAGAAACTTCGTCCTTCAATTACTTTTGATTTCCCAGATAAGGAGCGTCTCCTAAGGGAGAACAAACGGAAAATGAGCTTAATCCCTATCGAAGTAGTCTTCAAACTAGCTGCTATACGTCAACCTGTCATACTTACTCATTCAATTGAAGCATTTATTGGAGTGATTGATTTTTCTCGCGTTCAAAACCCTGGATTCCAAGCGATTAATGGAAGCTATGGTTCGTCAGCGGCAGCAACAGCTGCAGTGTTAATTGAAGCCCCTAAATGGGATGAAAAAGCATACGAGTTCTTACGAAGAACTATTTTACGGTGCCCAGAATATGCACAAGTATCCGGATACGTACCAACGGCAAGCGACATTGGATTGTTTGAGCTATGCTGGGTACTACATTGTATAGGAGAATTGTTGTTAAATATCAATCGCGAGAGAGATGCAAATTTAGGAGATTCACTCTCGAAACTGTCAACGAATATGCATTGCTTCGTTGAATACATGAAAGAGTTGCTTGTAGACCAAAAAGGCACAATGCGATGGGCCAGTTGGGATAATCATGTTCCAGCAGATGTGGATGATACGGCGGTAGCAAATTATCTTCTCACACAATTCGATCCAAATTACCCAATTGATTTTAATCTCAAAGCCGTTCTTGATACATTTTGGAACGGAAAATATTTTCTAAGTTTTCCTCATGAACGCACATCTTCGGTCAGTTGCAACGTTCATGCTATTACCTTCGTAATGGGTGCACGTGATAACGCGAAGAAACAATCGAATTATCCGTTGATTGTCGAAGCAAAAAATGCCAAAGATTCAGTCGTAAAAATGAACATTGATGAAATTATCATCTCCACAATTAACTTTATCCTATCGAAACGAAATGAATATCATGTTTGGTCTGACAAATGGAATCTGAGTCCATGGTATACCACCATGAAATCGATTCAACTTTTACTCAGTCTACAAAAATATCCAGAAATTTTGCAAGCAACCGATGTTAAAACAAGCAGCAATCTTCTTGAGTATTGTCGCAAATCAATAGACTTTCTATTAGCAAAACAGCATTCCGATGGAAGTTGGGGTCTAGCATCAGATAATGCTATTGGTAATATGGAAGAGACAAGCTACGCGTTGAGATTATTATGTGCCGCAGCTAAAAATTGGCAGGATGATGACCAAATTAAAGATGCGATCGAAAAAGGTCGCGCCTCTTTATTGAAACATTTTGATGAAGCTATGTCCAATGAGGCACACTTTTATAGAAAGGAACCATATTTGTGGATCACTAAACAAATTTATACTGTGCCTAGGATAGTTAAAGCCTCAATATTATTAGCACTTTGGGAGGTTTCAAATTTGAATTAACCTACATCAAAAATTCTAAATTGTATATTGGTTATATGTTTTGAATTAATCTTTTTTCTTTTACTTTCAAAAATATATTATTATCATCTAATAGCATTGTAACATTTATACTTATTCAACATTATCATTTTTAGCGCATATTTTAACATCCTGTTGTTGATCGAATTTATTTTGAACGCCAAGAGACTTGTAACAAAAATTCAATATAATAAAAATTATATTTATCAAAACAAACCTTTCAATACGAAAATACGAAAATTTTGATTGTTTTTTTAATTTCTGAATATCATAAATTTTATGGTCATATATGTCAGAAAGTTACGCTATCACTATAAATTATGATCGTGTTTATACTAAATCACATTGGTATTAACATATTAACATAACCTTCCATTAATTTATTCTCTATTTACTCTTCATCCCTGCCGTGTATAACCCCTTATCCGTTCCCCATCTATCCGTTCCCTCAAAATAGCGGATACCATATACATCTACATGTAAATGCATATGTAAATGCAAGAATTATACATGTAAATGTACATGCACATGTCATAGATGAATACGCACGCACCACCATTGTTATTGATAATGCACAGCATGCATGTATTTAAAATTAACGCATAAATAATGCCTTTTATGTGCATAATAGCATTTACATAGCTATACATGAATCATGAGCTTACAACATGGATTATCTTTTTAATGTTATCTAAGGTGCGATATTTGTTTCATATGCTTTCTAGAAAACGTTATTATATATTTACAATAGAGATAATAAAATAACAGTACAGGATACATACAAATGTTAATGAGTAGAGCAAACGTCGATGCGATATTCAACGCGTCCTGAGTTCTGTTTCAAATTTTGCTATAATAGTTGCTCCAGAGCAAGAGTATCTTTTAAAAAGCTTTTAGGAATAAAGACTCTAAAATAAGAAAACAATAGTCGAACCTCGATATAACGAAGACCAAATCGTTGTATTAAGTTTTTTACTAATAATTTCATTATGTCAAACCTTATTGGTATAAAGGAGCTGAAAATAAATTTCTTTCTATCGCGAATTTACTATGCTTTCGTTATATCAAGATCCATTATGTCAGAGTTTTTAACTGTACATAATATAAAAATGACTAACAATATTTCAGACATGTCTAAATTATAAAAAAGTTAAAAAAGAAAGCGCAGAAAATAATATATCATCAATCAAATATTGAAAAAAAATTATAGCAAGAAAGGCTGATTAAAAAATTAATTATATTGATAATACCAACCCGAAAGTATAAAATAGAATTAGGATAGATTTGCAAAAAACTATTGATATAAATAATAGAATATTAAAGCCAAATAATTAGTTGTATAAAAAAAATAAATGTATCTTTAATTAAATAATACTTTTTAAGAGATAATATTAATTAATTTTTGCTATCTATAATTTATAATTTAAAATCCACAGTCAGTCTCTTTATAGTGGAGACAAAAAATCCAACAGGTTTCTACACTATGACGAGATATCTACAAAAAAAGAAATCTCACTATATAGTGTAGTTACTAATCAATCACGTGATATATAATAATGAATATTATATGTAAATCAAATTTTTAAAAAAAATAGTTAAAGTATAATTAAAGCATAATCAATTACTTAAAGTTATTTAAAGTATAATTAATCAATCAATCAATTTTATTGATTGGAATTATTTAATAAGACTAGATTGCTACTTGTTTTCAAAATCCATCTTTACAAGATTATTTTATTGCAAATATCTTATCACATTTATTAATGCTTTCAAAGTTTACTAAAAATTTCACCTTTTTATTATTTTCTAACTCTTAAATCTTTATATCACTTATAAACTTGACAATTTTCTCATCTGTTATTTGTTTTCTTAATTATCAACCTGAATACTTCTTTATAATCAGTAGATTAGAAATATATGGCATTTGATTAATGAAAACTATAAGTTCATAATTATATTTAGCTTTAGTATTATTAAGAATAAGATTAATTATTACTAGATTATTATTTTAAGTTACAAAAAAAGAAAGTATATTCACATAATATTAATTATTTTTGATTATAACTTGAATTATAAAATCTTAGGCAATAATAGAAAATTTAATTATATTTTGAATTATAAATAAACTAGAAGTAGAAAATTTAAATGTAATATTTTTATAAATTTTAATATAAAATTTATTAATAATAAATTTGATAGTAAATTAAATATAAAATATAATAATATGAAATATATTATAAATAGAATTACAAAATATCTAAATATAATTAATAACAGAAATAATATATTAAATTATAATATCTTCAAGCTATAAATAATTTTTTTAATTAATTAGTTATAAATAAGATATTATATTAAAAAAAAGAAAATAAACTCAAATATTAAAAAGGATATCAAGATTTTTCAACTTATAATATTTAATAATATCTATTAAAAAAATGAATATACTAGTTAACTCTATATATTTTGATATTAAATCAGTTAAAATAATAGATAAAACTTGATTTTTATATTTAAGTCTTATTATTTTTATAATATCAAATTAGAAAAGTATTTTTATCAATTTCTTGAAGAGTAATTAGAGTTTTAAATTTATGAATAAATAGTAAAAATAATTTTTCTTTAGTTAAATTTTATATTATTATAATACTAATATAATCTTTAAACTTTTTTTTAATTATAAATCTATAAATAAAAGTTTAATTTAACTTGAATTTTCAAAAAAGTATTATTTTATTATAATTAAAAATATTTTTTGAAGAATATTATTATCATAGTAATATAAATTTCTTTAATTTCATAATTTTTTAAACTTGAAAAATTTAACTAATCAAATGATTTTTAGAAGATATATGATTTTGAATAATATAATTAGTATATTAATTATGAATTTAGTTACGATTCAACAATATTTTTGCAATATTCTTGCAATATTTTTGCAATATTCTTGTAATATTTTTACAATATTCTAAGATCATTAATAAATAATTAGTTCCA